GCCAGCTGGACACAGTGCTGGAGACATGCCCTATGACTTGCTGGCACACTTTGTGGTTCTACTTCAGGGGGCCTAAGAAACCAAGGGCATCGGGAGTCTGGACTGTGACTCACTAGCACTGCACCCGGGCCTGGTTGGGGGCTGGACATGTGCTGTGTGGACAGGAGCAGGCCTTCTGGGAAGTGATGTCCTCTGAGGCTGGACACTGTCATCAAGAGGCAGCTGGTGCTCCACACTGGGGTCAGAGGGGTACCCCTCCTTAGGCTCAAGGACCTGTCACCAGGATATGGTCTGAAAAATGCTTCATTTTGGAATTTGTGTCAGAGTCCTTAACTCTGAAAGTAAGCAGTGGAGTGGAGACATCAAAACTCTCCACCACACAGTCACACCATACACCAACCAGGAACGTCTGAACAGCTGGGGAGCTAAGCCTTATGCGGCATCAGTGGGTCCAGCGCTCTGCCACCCTTCCAGCTACTCGCTCCAACAGGACAAGATGCACTTCACACAGCACAGGGAAGCAAACGGCTACTCCCATGGGAAAAGATGGACACTCCCTCCAAACCATGTCAGATCACACCGCTGCTGCTTTTCGCCTGATTGGAGAGAGGGAGAACAGTGACCGAACAGAGTCCCTCTTTCCTGCCTTCCTTCCAGAGGAGCAAGACCCAGCCCAACTACTGCAGAAGTCAGCTGACACTGTCTGTCACCACAGCCATGCTGACCCCCACCACCCTTTCTCTTGGACTGCCCTACAAGCGACATGACTAGAGTCTCCAGGTCCATAGCTATTCCCTGGAGACTTATGTGATCACACACAAGAAAACCCAGAATCATCTAGAACATCTAGAAGAGAGTCATGTAAGATGCACTCTCAAGGGACGCCACACAGTGGAAAGGCATCATGAGGGAACTTGTAATGGATGACAGGGCTAAGTGATGTGATGCTAAATGAACAAGCAAGCTGCCAGCACAGAACACAGGGTGAGCTGCCTGTGACAGGGGAGGGGAAGACCTTCACGTGCAGGGTGGGCATGCACCAACCCTGAGTGAGAAAAGACACTAGAAGCCAGTGCCATGATTGTTCTGGGGAGCTGGGGCAAAGTTGGGGCTGGAGTTGGGGGCAGAAAAGGCCCTGACTCCACTTTTCTTCCATTTGAACCTTAGGACATGGGACTATAGCAGAGGGTTCACAATATGTTGCTTTAGGGATAGTCTGAAAACTGGTCTTAAAATGCCCTAAATAAACAAACAAACAAACAACAACAACAACAACAACAAAAAGAAATGGAAATAATAAAAGAACTCACTTAAGGGAGCTCTAGGGAGGATGGGTTTGGTTTTCCATGTTAAATGGCTAGCCTAGCTTCTTACTCGGTGTGTTTAGGAAATGCTTGTTAAATGAACAAGCAGACTATGTAACAAGTAAACTTTTCCTAGGCTCCTATGTGTCAAACCCCTACTCATCTATGATACTGTTGAAACCTCAACTGATACCATGTGGTCTGTGCTTATTTCCTTTTACAGATGAGGAAACTGAGGCACAGAGTGGGCAGGTTCTTGCCTGTGGCCCACAGTTGGACAGGAGTGGAGATGGGATTTGTAGCCTTGTCCATCTCATTCCTGCCCCTCCACCCTAAGAGGCAGAGCTGGGATCAGCCTGATCCGGCTGTGTACTCCTTCGAAATAACCCTCCCTAACGCCAGGATCAGAAAACAGCTGCCATTTTATCATGCTTGTGAGTTCCGAGGGTCAAGAGCCTTTGATAGGAGGGCAGCCTTCACTGGGAGGACTCCAAGGTAGGGGCTGGAACTGTTGGCCAGACACTGCCCACAGGCTTCTTTCACTCCAGGCCAGGCTGTGTTTTACCTCAAGAAGGCAAGCAAATGGAAATCCGGGCTGTGGAGCAGGCTGAGAGGGGGACAGGAGTGGGAGCAGCAGCCTGTGGTCTGTGATCTGGCAGCTTCTGAGGCTGGAAGTTGAGGTGTAAGCTGCTCCTTGTGGCTTTTGCACACACATCTTCCCGTCATGCCTCCTCGGCCTTCTGTTCTAAGCGATCTCTCTCGGGGAGGAGATCCCTGACTAGTGAGCTGTACATGGGTGCGTTGATCTGCCTCCCAGAGCCTGTCCTCTGTGGAAGGCTTTTTACATCACTGCAGTTGACAGTACTCAGTAGACAAAGTTCCAGGTCTTTATCAACAGTATTCTGAGGCACACAGTAGGCACCTTATGCTCATTTACTGAATGGGTGAGTGGATGAGGCTGATGGATTTGGATGAGCCTCCGTGTCTTCTGTAAGCTGGCTGGCAGGGTTGTGTGTATGTGGAGGGAGACAAAGGATGTGAAAAGGAAGACATAGGAGGGAGTCAGAAAGATGGGTGTTACTATGATCTGCATCGAGGGCATGAATCAAAAGACCCGAGGGATGGTGATGAGGCTCTTAGGACCTCTAGCATATGGTAGATGGTAAGGAAATATGAGATGCCATCTTTGCCATCTCTACTATTTTTATTAGAACACTCACGTCCAAGTCAGAAGGATACCATAGGATGAATAAAATTTTCTGTAAGTTAAAACAAGTTGTGATGCTCCCTGTCACCTGGGCTAGCATCTGTAGAGGTCATTGTGACTCTTCTGGGGCACTGGGCTCTGGTTTGGGCATAGAATGCCCTGGGACCTGGGTCTGGAGTCTAACATTGTGTGCTGCAGTGAAGGTTGTGTCTCTGAAATCACTGTTCAGTCTTGGTGGAAGTAGTCCTTCCCTACCCTCCACAATAGCAACATGTCCCCAACTTTGTAGAGTGGCCAGCCTGGCTGTCACTTGGTTCCTGGTTGAGCAGTACCCTCTAGTGGCTGGATGTGAGACTAACAGACAGCCTAATGGTGCAGTTGGGGGGCGGGCTGTGAGGGTTGGTGGTGGATGTGGGGACCCAGTAGGGGAAAAGAGGTGAGAAGCCTGAGGAGGCCAGGTGCACCCTATTTACAATGGAGTAGGAGGGGTCATGTGACTATAACATGTTCAGAGTGGCCTGCACATTCAATGGCCTTTGCCATGGCTCTGGCCTAGCCCGTAAGAGGCACTCAGGCGATGAGCACCTGCCAGCAGGGTCTGCCCCTTCCAGAAAGGTAGGAGAGGTGGGTGGCACAGAAAGGCACAAGAGTTGGTGGGATGGATCCCTGTGACCTGAGGTTACAGAGGGACCCAGAGAGAGCTCTATTTTTATTTATTTCTATTTTTGTGTATGAGTGTATTGCCTACATGTATATAAGTGCACTTGTGTCGTGTAGTGCCCTTGGACGCCAGAAGAGGGGTGTCAGATTCCCCAGGAACAGGAGTTACAGATGGTTGTTAGCCACAATGTGGGTGCTGGGAACTGAATCTGGGTCCTCTGCAAGAGCAGTCAGTGCTCATAACCACTGAGCCAGCTCTCCAGCTCTATATTTTAACTTGAAAACATTAAAAATATTTTGAACATGTTAACCACAGCTCCCAGTTAGGGACAGGCTATCAGGTCCCCTACCCCTAAGGGGAAAGAACACATCTAGACCTGGGACTTTCTGCTCTTGTCCTGTCACAGCTGTGGGATTTAGAGCCTCCAGTATTCTAGAGTTTGAATCTTATCAGAAAGCTCCATACAGAATATATCTACATGCCCTGAACAATCCACAGACTCAGACCTCTGACATGCTGGGTGCCCCTCACCAGCTCAACCTGGAATAAGTTTGCTGATCTCATCTGCTTCTCAACTTGCTCATAGTGTATAGGTGTAGGGCAGGGCTCTGATATGAAGTTTTAAAGACCACTCTCCCCCAACACACAGCTGGACCTCCTAGATGTGGGCAATGGGATGGGTTCAGCCTTACCTTACCTTATTGATGAAAATCAGTAGGGGAAATGAAGCCCAGAAGGGGAATAGGGCTTGGCCCAGACCCACGGCTAGCTGGTAGCAGCTGAGTGGAGGCCATGTCATGAGTAGCCACGGTATCCCCATGACTCAGTGAGACTGTCTCTTTCCTGGGGGATTTCTAGCCTTGCAGCAAGCCAGAGAGAGCACAGGTGGGGGCCTGGACTGCATCTAACTCAGGGGACTAATAGGTGTTAAAACACAGTGTAACCTTCTTTTGCCTCGTGTGTGTGTGTGTGTGTGTGTGTGTGTGTGTGTGAAAACAACAGGAAAGCATTTCAGAGGCATGAACTTCTACAGAGGAGAAGCTGGGGTCTGATCTGGCAAGGAGGGGCTCCAGCTGTCCTCAGCAGGGTGCCAGGGAGAAGCACAGCTCAGGGGTAGTGCTGGGAACCTCCACCTGCCAAGTGGAGGGTGGGTGTGAGGGTCACTGCCTGGGGAGTGACATTTCATCATGTGGGGGTGCTCCTCCACCTGTGCCACCTCCTTCCCAGCTACCCTCAGGCCCTAGTGACAAGACTGCTGAGCTGGGGGCAAATGCAAATCAGACGTGCCCCAAGGTGGGGATGCCCTCCCCAGCAAAGATGGTGGCTCCTAGGCCAGACAGGGATGAGGACAGATTTGCCTATTAGCTTGCTCTACCTGAAGATTCTCCCAGTGTCCTTGCTGCCTGGGGCTAGGGGTATCACAGTGAAAGAAAGTGTTCAGGGTGTCTGTGGAGGGGTAAGTTGGGGGCCACCCCCTGACTCCTGACCCAGTAATTTCTTCCACTGTTTCCCTAGTCACCTTCAAACTTCCTCTCAGTGATGTGCTGAACATGGTCACCTCCAAGTGAAGTCAAAGAGTGCCGAGACCTATCACTTTCTCAGACCTTAGTTTCTCCCTGGCCACAACGGACAGCAGGTGCCAGATGGTGAATGGAGTGGGTGAGACCATCTCTGAGCTCCATTCAGCTTCAACCGCCTCTGGAAGAGGCTCTGGAGAGCCTTATTCCCTCAGGAGTAACAGCCACTGATCCTGTGCATGAGTCCCCAATTGCCTTGGGAGGGTGGTCCAAGGGGAAGAAGGTCACAGGCACTGTGAAAAGGAGGCCGGAAGGGTAGTGCTTGAAGACGCGAGCTGCCTCCAAGAGGATGTGCCAGTGGGCCTGGGGCCGCTGTCTAGCCAAAGGACCTCTCAGGTGGCTCCTCCACCACCAGCCTGGGCAAGGTGTCCAGGCCCTGCCTCAGGAGACCCTGTAATCTCTTCTCCTGGTGGCCTCACTGCAGAGGCAATGGCTGTGCTGTAGAAATGGCATCTAGGACTGACTATGGGAGAAGGGCTCATCGCTCTGATTCTGGGGTCTCCCTGACTAGAAGCAGGGCTCCCAGGACTTGCCAAGTTGCACCAGAGCCTGTTCCTCCTAAACTGCAACTCTGCAAAGGAGGGGGCAGGGCAGGGTTACAGAAAGGCCTAGCAAAAAAAAGTTCACTTTCTTTGAGGAGTAGAGGGAACTGCACCTAGGACACAGGCTCAGAATCTCTTAGTGTGCATGTTGGGGCAGGGAGGTGGTAGTAGTGAAGAACAGGAAAAACAGGAGGGGAGGAAAGGCACACAGAGAATGGAGGAGTCTAAAGAACAGGAGCAGGAAGGGAATACAGGAGAGACAGGAAGAGGGAAGGGTGTGGGCAGGGCAGGCTAGGGCAGGGGATCAGAAGGGCAGGAGACAGCTAGCAGGGCAGAGATGAGACGTTGGGGCTGGAAGGAGGTCACAGTGGGCCAGGCTGGCGCAGCTGCCTGTCCAGTCTGGGCTCCAACTTCCTGTCCTTGCGCAGGCGCTGGTCCTTCCGGTCCTTGCGGCCCTTCTGGCTCTTCTGCCGGGGACTTCTCTCTGTAAGAGAGCACAGGGCTTGTTTCATGGTCCACAGGGCCAGGGAGGTCCTGAGATAGGGACACCCCAAATGCCCTCAGCAGGTCCCAGAACTGAGATGCTGGACTCCCAGTTCCCCTGTTTTAGATTTGGGGCTACAGGTAAAGTTGTCCTAAACTGAGTCCTCCTCTGTGATTAGTAAGGGGTAGGAGGCCGCTAACTTTTGGAGGGAGCAACAACCTGGGGGCCTGAGATCACTAGGGGTCAGCACCTCAGTCAGGGTTTAGGGTGACCTCGTGGAGTTACAGTCCCCCCCCCACTCCCCACGCACAGGACTTCACTGTTCATAAGGCTCTCTACTGGAGACTGAGCCTCGTCTACCTGAGTCCTTGCCCACCTTTCCACTGGCCTCCAGTCAGGCCCCACCTTCAGCAGCACCCGAAGTCCCAGTCACTGTGGTTTAGCTGTGGCTTGGTGCAGGCCAGATGACCCAGAGCAACCCAGAAAGTAAATCTACGCAGAGAGGAAGTGGCAATTTCTCTCCCATTCGATAGGCAGGGAGGGAGGGAGGTCTCAGTGTTCCGACTGTCCAGAGGGCTGACTACAAACCCCATTCAGATCTACATCTAGGCCCCACTATGTCCCACCAACCCTGGCAGAGTGAGGGGTGCGTGTCTAAGGTGGACACTGATTAGTGTTTTCTCAGGTGAGGTGACCATAAGGCTGACTAGGGGACAAACTTGCCCAGTAGCCCAGAATTTCTGGATCAGTCCTGACTTCCCTTTAGGGAAGCACGTCTGGGCGGTGCTGGCTAGGTGACCAGTGGCCAGATTGGGGGTGGGGGGAACGACGGCACAATGACAGAGTCCCAGCACAGTATCTTGAGGAGAGCTCCATGTCTCCTGGTCTCCCTTCCTTGCCCCTCCTTAGTAGTGCACTCTCAAGGAGTCAGGGCCTCCACTCCTCCCTCTGCAGGGTAGACTCAACATTATCCCTTAGACCAGGCTGCTGACTTCAAGGGCTGCCAACCAAACTCAAGTTCTCAGAGGCACCCTGCAGGCTCCAGGTGAGGATAGCATCTGGGGAGGGGTGTGAGCACTACTGACAGATCCTTGTCAGCTTTGAGGGGTGGGGGAGGGGAAAATGAGTAGCTTTGTGTCCCCATTCTTCCCATATGCCAGCCTGTTAGCTGCCCCCACACACCATCATTCACACCTCCACCCTCCCACTCACCCTAGCACCCTCCCACCCATGCACCTTTTCAGCCACCTATGAACCCTCCCACTCACCCTGGCACCCTTCCGTTCATGTACCCTTCCACTTACCTATGCAGCTCCTTCCATCCATCCATCCATCCATCCATCCATTCATCCATCCATCCATCCACTCACTCACTGAACTAACTAGCTATCTACCCACTCACTTATTGCCACCCATCTATCCACCCACTCATCCAACTACATGCCTATCCATGTATCCAGTCCCCCACCCATCTATCACTCCTACAACCTCCCACCTATGTACCCACCCATCCATTCCCCCACTCACCCTCCTACCTACCCACTCACCCAACTCTTCTCACCCACCCGACCTCTCACCTGTCTACCCATCTACCCACCCACTCACCCATCTACCCTCTCTTCACCCATGCACCTATTCATTCCACAGAGTTAACTCAACACCCACTAGTGAACATCTAGACCTTGTTCTGTCATCAGAGATGGCTGCAAACAAGGCAGGCAGACCTTGCCCTTCTTGGAGACCACATTCTATTAAGAGCTGTGGACTTCACACATAGAACAGCAGAAGGAGCAGGACTCTTTCCTAGAGGGGCCAGTGCTGTGGTGCAATGTGATGGAAGATGACTCTAGGAGGAAGACTTAGAAACCTGTCTGGGAGATGGCACCTTAGGGCTGATGGTAGAAGACCCTGCAGGCTTGTGGGAACTCACAGAGCTGTGTTTACTAAGCGCACAGCAGCTCATGGCAAGCACCTTGTGAATGTTTGCAGTTGCTGCTCGTAGTATTATCTTGGTTGAGGAAAGGGCTTTCCTCGGGTTTGGGGAATCTAGTCCCAACTCAGCCTCACTATCTGTCTCAACTACTCAGTATATGTATATGTCTGTGGGAGAGAGTATCTCTGGATTCCTATTCTGCTTCTTCCACGTCTTAGCTGTGTCCTGAGTGGCCTGGCTCTAGGTCTCTCACTGTTGACCACAACTTTAGAGCCTTTTTTGCTCTAACAAAGAACATTTGACTTTCAGGTTCACCTATTCCTGGCTATGTGACCATGGGACAAGTGTCTCAACCTCTCTGGGACCATAATTACACCTATCTCATAGTGTCATTGTGCAGATCAAATGAATTAGTGACTAGAAAACTTAGCACCTAACACTGCTCTTCTGTGCTGGGGCCCTACTCCCTCACACCTTGCCACCCATATGATTGGCCTCTTCTGGTTAAATTGGTGGTTCTTAACAGTTTCCACTGGAAATCTGTCTTATCTGCCTCAATGAAGGGGGTCTCAGTGGCATTCAGTGGACAGGGACTGGGGTGCTGCAGGGATGGTCCTCCACTCTAGCCAGTCCTGCTCTATCTTTACATAGCTGAGAGCTTCACTCTCTGTACTTTTAAGCCCAGGGGTTCAGGATGGTTCCACTCCCATCTCTATGGTAACCTTGGCTCCGCATCCCTGGGGTCTCCCTCCCATTGCTTCTGTGTGTTGGACCATCACTTTTCTTCTCTTTTGAATTACAGTGTGGGACTACACTGTACTGCACCCACAGGCCACGCCCCCCAGGGCTTTCTCAGGACCCCCCCCACTGCCCACCCCGACCCCCAGTCAGACCAGTAGAGACTGTATTCCAAAGTTCTAGTGGCATGGAGGGGTCTTTGGACTTCAGCCCAGTCTTCTCACTGTGTCTGGGACCCATCCCTGGAAGCACCCCACAGAGCAGTGCTTAGTTCACAGGAAGGGCTGGCTGTTAGTGGCCTTTCCGGTGGCCTCACAGGTTCTGTCTGTGGAGTCTTTGTCCTCAGGATGCTAGAAGTCACCGGTAGGTTTTCCCCTTTGGAGTCCTGCATGCCCAGTGCTCACCTCCTGGGCAGGGCCTCTGCATGGGACATTTCCTGGACTCAGTCAGCACTTGGCAGCTTGCCTCCTCTTCCTGCCCAGCCTGGCCAGCCTCTCGCACTCGGGTCTCCAGACCCCAGGCTGAGCCACAGGTCTTCCCATTGTGTGTACAGGGGCTCCAGCTGCCCCATGGGCCAGGCTCACACTCTTCTGTGGGCAAAGGGAGAGAGGCACAGGTCAGTCAGCTGGTGGTGGATGCCCCTTGGGTCCAAGGACAGTGTCCAGGGGTATGATGACATCATCTCCATCTGCAAGAGACTCAACCTATTGCTGGGATCAGGAGACATACATTGAAAATGCCATTCACAGAGATGGGGAAAAACTATACTGAAGACTGTACAGAAGCCAGAGCTGGCTTCTGCCTGTGAGGGGGAAGGTTCACAGCGACGTGACAGAGCCGAGTTCATCTGGCGAGGAGAGGAGTGCCTCCTTGGTCAGCAGGGTTTGTGAGGCCAGATGACTGGAATGAGGGAAAGGTGCAGGAAAGGAGGACCAGATGAAGAGGTGGATGTTCACTGGAAGGCCTTCGGGAGCAGGGCTCAGGTTCTAAATGTGACGCATCACCCATAGAAGGAAGGCCAAAGTCACCCAGTGCTGTTGTGAGGGAAAAGTCACAGTTCTCAGAGGAGGGCAATTTCAGCAGATGCAGTTCATTTGTTTCTGAGAAAGAGGTGGTGCCCAGCCCAGAGGACAGTGAAATCCTTGTCTTACAGGCTCAGGCACTGAAGGCTGGAGCAGGAGGGGACACAGTAGAGGCTAGAAACAGGTCTCTAGGCCTCAGGATGGCCATGGATTGACTTGACAAATCAAGACTGAACACTGTGAGCCCCTGGGATTGGTACAGAAGGGCAGATGCAGATAAGAGATACCTGACTGCTTCCCAGAATCTACCATGTTGAGATGCCATGCTGGGAGGGCAGGGGTGCTCTGTGCACTGCTGGAGGAGCTGTGGGAGCCCAGAAAAGGCATGGGGAACAGCCTGGGGGACACTGTAGAACTGAGTGTCTGGTGGGGAGAAGGAGAGAGTGCCCAGGCTCATGGAGGTAGGAGATATTTCAGGTAGAAGGATTTGCCCAGGAAACTGTCCTAGGACAGGTAAGCCCAACTTGAAAGAGGAAGAGGATGGGTGGAGAGGCCACAGATGGAGAGCAGATTGCCCAGGGCTTGGAGGGCTCTGCCAGAGGCCACAGAGGGAACTGAGCCGATTGCCATCTTTAATCTGGCTGAGGATGGGAGCTCATGTTCTGAGACTGACCTAGGACAGTCAGGAAGCAAAAGTTGAGGTGGGGAATGTGAAGAGTGATTGATGGGGATGGGCATGGAAACTTTATGTTGCCCAGGATTCCCGCTAAGCTTTCTGCCCTTAACGGGACATACATTGATTTCATATGCCCTCTTTCTCCCCACTGAAATGTGAAGACAGACCTATGTCATTTGCTAACACATCCCCAGCACCCGAAGGGCCTGGCCATAGCAGATACTGTAGTGCATAGTTCTTGGGTGAGCAGGTTGAATTGGCTTGAGGGTGAAGGAGAGAAGCATCAGTGTTGATGGGGTCCTGGACGGGGCCACCCCGGGAATGGCAGTTAGTTATCCATAGAAAGAACTTGAGGGGCTGGAGAGATGGCTCAGTGGTTAAGAGCACTGGCTGTTCAGAGGACCTGGGTTCAGTTCCCAACACCCACATCGTGGCTAACAACCATCCTTAACTACAGTTCCAGGGGATCTGACACCTTCTTCTGACCTCCTCAGGCATTGTATGACATGGGTGCTTTTACATACATGCAGGCAATACACTCATACACATAAAAATAAAAATAATAAAATTTTAAAAAAATTTAAAAGAAAGAACTTGGGCTGGAGTGATGGCTCAGCACTTAAGAGAACTGGCTGCTCTTACAGAGGACCTGAGTTCCCAGCACATACATGGTGACTAACAACCATCTATAATTCCAGTTCCAGGGGATCTGGCACCCTCATCTGGCATCTGAGGGCATGGCATGCATGTGGTACACTTACATACATGCAGACAAAACATTTATATACATAATTAAAAAAAAAGAAAGGAGGGAAGGAAGGAAGGAAGGACCTGGTGAAGCAACAGGCTGGGCTGGGGTGGGTTGGGGAAGGGGCAGGAGGACTCCTAAAGAATGCGGGGCTTCTTTTCAGGCAGGGAGTAGCTGAGACAGCAGTGGGGAGCTGCCAGCTGAGGAAATGACTGTGACCACAATCCCAGAGAGACAGTGTGGGCAGAGGTGAGAGTGTCAAGGACAGCTTCTGGTGTGGAGAGAGCCAGAGGAGGAACATACAGATGGATTTGATAAGGTGCTGTCAGAAAAGGATGAGAGTGTTCTAACAACAGAGCATCTGTGCTGAGCACCAAAGGCAGCTAGCTGCTGTGGTCAGTGCCTTAAACTGTGTGAATGTATTCCATTCTCCTCACAGTCCCTCCCCATGGGGTGGGACTCCATGTTCTTTTTTTTTTTTTTTTTTTTCTTGAGGCAGGGTTTTCCTGTAGCTCCAGGTGGCCTGGAACTCCCTGTGTAAACCAGGCTGGGGTCAATCACAAAGATCTGCCTGCCTCTGCCTCCTGAGTGCTGGGATTAAAGTCATGCACCACCACACCCAGCTGGTTTTTTGTTTGATTGTTTGTTTTTTTGAGATGGAGTCTCATGTAGACCAGGCTGGCCTTGGACTTCCTATATAGCTAAGGATGACCTTGAATTCCTGATTCTACTGCTTTCACCTCCCAAGTGCTGGGATTATAGGTATGTACCACCATGCTTGATTTTATGTGGCACATAAACAAATCTAAGAACAAATCTTAGAACAAATCTAAGGCCTCATGCATGCTAGAAAAGCACTCTACTGAGTTACATCCCCAGTGTTTGTGACTTTGTTTGAGACAGGATCTCCCTATTTGCTCCAGGTGGGTCTTAACCTTCAACTCTCCTGCCTCAGCCTCCTGAGTGCTAGGATTACAGTATGTAGTTATTATTTATTTATATTTATTTTAGTGGGTGTGTAGTGTATTGTGAGCACATCTGTCCATGTGCACAAATACGGAAACCATAGGCTGAAGTGGGATGTCTTCCTCGATTGCTTTAATCCTTAGTTTTTGCAGCAGGGTCTCTCACTGAACCTAGAGCTTGCTGTTTCTGCTAGACTGGACAGCAACCACCAGAGATCCATCCGTCTCTCCCAGCATTGGGGTTACAGATGTGTGCCCACAGTGCTTGGTTTTTATGTGGGTGCTGGGGATCTGAACTCAGGTCCTCATAGTTGTGCAGCAGGCACTTTCTGCACAGAGCCATCTGGGAGTCCTGGACATAGCTGAAGTGAGTTGCTTGAGATGGCTGAAGGTATTTCAAGGCCAGGTCTACTTTCCTCCCAAACCACTCCTCTCCATTGTCCCGCTGGTGAGGACACTTGGTAACAAGAGCAGTACCGGTGTTGCTGCTGAGGTAACTATGTGCAATGTTTACGAGGGCTCTAGAGCTCGAGAGCATTCTGTGCATGTGTCCCCTGTGCACCAACATGGGGCTGGGCCATCCATCACCCCCATGACAGTGTACTGACTGCTTCTGGGTATCTTGCTCTCTCCCCAAGACCTTGCTCCAGGACAAGAGCTCCTTACTCACCTTGGCACTCCTGGGTGCTCTGGTGGGTCAGGGTGCCTGGTGGGCAGGTGGGCAGGCACTTTCCTTTGTATAGGTGAAACCGTCTCTTGCAGCGGATGCAGAAGTCTTGGCTGAAGCAACTCTCACACGTGGCCCCACATTCTGCAACAGAGTTAGGGACACCTCAGGTAAACTGCCAGTGAAGGGGCCTATGGGTCTGTCTGAAGTTGGGGGGTGGGTGTCTCAGTACAGCCCCAAGCTCTACTACAGCACTGGAATCAGGTTGCAGTGTTCCCCTTGGAGGCCTAGACTCACATGGGCTGCATGTGAGGCCTTCTTTTCTTGTTTGAGCTGAGGCTGAACCCAGGAAAGTGACTTACTAGAAACCACACAGCAAATCTGGGCTTGGAGTGATGGTTCCCTGACCCTTTTCCCACCAAGACTCAGAGATGGTGATGGTTTGTCCTAGGTCACAGTGAAAACAGAGTTCAGGGTCAAGACTGCCTTTCTTACTTAGCTAGACCCAGGGAAGATGAGTAACCTGCTTGAGGCCACACAGCAAACTAGGGTAGAGGTTCTCTGCCTTGTTTGAGTTGAGACCTTCTGGTACCCTGCTGGAGCTGATGGAGGAATGGAGGGGACTAACTAGCCTAGGGTGCAGGGCTGGCTGGAATCAAACAAGCCTTGGGTGTACTTCTTCTTCCTCCTAGGGTGTGTTGAGGAAGGCAGGATGCTGGTCACAGTACCCAGGGGCCCTAAGCTCACACACGACAAGGGAGGAGCCACGTACTTTTGCACCTGTTGACCTCCTGGCCTCGGATTCCAAAGAAGCCAAGGGGACAGTCGTGCACACACTTGCCATACTGACGGATACCTTCCCGGCGGATGAACAGGAAGAGTCTCTGCTGGCACATGGAGCAGCCATTCTCCTCTGAGCAGCTGATACAGCCTGTGCAGTTGCCCCCCAGGCCAGGGCCTACTGCAACCAGACGGGGCGGGAGACAGAGATGGTCAGATCAGATATGTGAGCAGCTCAGATGGACTCACTGGGATATTAGCTGGACACACCAAAAGACTTCATTTCCCAGCCTCCCTTTCAAGTAGATAGCATATGATTTAAATCTGGCCAATGGGACACAGGGTCAGCAGTGTGTGAAACTTCTAGAAGGAGGAGCATTCTCTTTCTCACCCCTCATCCTTCCTGCTGGATGGAATGAGAACACTATGGTTGGAGCATAGTCAGTTATTCTGGATGATGAAGTAGAAAGCATGCTTTGAGGATGGGGAGGTAAGATGGCACGTGCCTGAAGAAGGCAGAGCTGCTGCACCACTGTTTGTGGACTGCTAACGTCAGCAAACTCAACATCTACTTTATTCAGCCACTGTTACCTGGACTTTTCTAGGCACATTTAATCTTTACTAAAGAAATTATCTTGTGTGTGTGTGTGTGTGTGTGTGTGTGTGTGTGTGTGTGTGTGTATGCACACATATGGGAATGGTGGGACACAAGGATGGGTTGAGACTTCACCCTCCTGCTTAGTTTCTGAATGATACTTCAGTCCCCACTGCCACCAATACAAGGGCTCCTGCCACCATCAGGTGCAGGAATTTGAGGGGAGGAAGCAGGAACCAGGCTCCAAAGCTGGGTTGAGCAATATCCTAGAACCCAAGGCGGCCACCCCAAGAGTCACAGAGAGACTGTGGCCTCAGAACGCTGGTTCAGCTGAGCTGAGGGAGGGAGACTGAAGGCCGGGAGGTGTTGCTTGGCCAACACTCAGTAGGACTGTGACTTTTCCTCTGTCCCCAGCCCCCCAAACCAAGCGAGGCAAAGCAGAGGAGACTCCTGCTAGACCAGGTGGGGTGCTAGAAGAGACCCTCAATAGACTAGGTGGGGTGCTAGAGGTACTAGTCTCGTGCCCCAGTGGGATATAAACATGCATCCACAGCCCAGCCTCCTGGCCTTCCTTGTACCTCTCTGAGCAGAGAGGAGACCGGGGAGAACGGGCAGAGCAAGAGGGACAGCAGAAGGCCCGCTAGTCTTCATGGCAGGTAAGAGGGGCTCACAGCAAGGGGGCCCATGGAGGAGCCAGGCACATGGGGCCTGTGTTGTGTCCCACATGATGTTTTACTTATCAGATTGTAATTCCCTCCAAGGCACCTCTGGAGTCACTCTATAATCTCAAAGGCACCTCTGGAGTCACTCTATAATCTCAATGATCAAAAAGGTACTAACCATAGAGGAGGGGAGGGTCCTCTAGAAACCCATTTAACGAGGACTGGGAGATTGCTCAGTGGGTAAAGTACTTGTTGTGAAAGCAAGAGGACCTGAGTTCAAATCTCCAGCATACACTTAAAATCCAGGCATGGGCCTATAACCCTAGGGTGGAGACAATGGATCCCTGGAGCTTGCCAGCCAGCCAGCCTATCCAGAATAGTGAGCTCCAGGTTCTGTGAGAGACCATGCCAAAAAGGCGAGGTGGAAGGTGATAAAGTACATACCTGATGTCCTCCTCTGCCTTCCACATGCATATGCATGGACACATTCGCACATGTGCATATAAAAGACACATACACATACACACACACACACACACACACACACACACACACGCACACAGAAACCCATTAAACCATGAAATTTCAAAAGCTTCCAAAGTCCTATTAGTCACCATTAGATACTTCAGTGTGACTTTTCTTTGGGAAGTCCTCACAGGCTCTTGGGAATGTCTTATTCTTTCCTTAAGCACCTTTCTGTTTTTAAAATTTAATTTTATGTGTATGAGTATTTTGTCTGCATGTATGTAAGTGCACCCATGTCACACAATGCCTGTGGAGGCCAGAAGAGGGCATCAGATCCCCTGGAACTAGAGTTACAGGTGGTTGTTAGCTGCCATGTGGATGCTGGGAACTGAATCTGGGTCTTCTGCAAGAGCAGCCAGTGATCTTAACCACTGAGCCATCTCTCCAGCCTCCCTTTCTATAATAAACTCTAACTCAATTTTGTACTGGATTGACCTGAAATTCTTTTCTGTGTTGACACCAAGGATCTGGTTTTATCTGAGTTGAGGTCCCTAAAAGATTAAGGAAACTCCTCAGACTGCTACAGCTGTACCTCCTTCCTTGCCACCACTGACACTGATCTCAATACCTGGTGGGAACAACTCTAAGGGAGGACAGCTTTATCTTAGCTCATGGTTTCGGAGGGGTTTAGTTTACAAAGACTGGGAAAGCATGGCAGCATATGGCAGAGGCCATTCACATCACAGTGGGCCAGAAAGCTCAGAGTGGGACAGAAAGGTGGGCCGAGAAAAACCTTCGGAGGCCCTTAATGACCTACTTCTACTGACTGGGCACCATCTTCTAAAGGTTCCACAGCCTGGCAACATAGTGTATCCAGCTGGGGAACTACATTCAAAACGTGAACCCATGGGAGGTATTCCAGAGTCAAACCACAGCAGGTCTGGGGTGGGACCCAAGAATCTTCTTTTCTAACAGGTGATCTGATGGTGCTGGCCTTGGACCTCCTTTTGGAAGCCTTTTGGCTAAAGAAACTCTTGAGCATCTGCACAAGAGACAGAGGCTTATACTGTGGCATGGTTCACTAGCAAACAACCACGAAAGGGAACCCATTGTGGAAAGAGTAGATGACTATGTGTGTTGGTATAATCATATGCCACAACCATACACAACCCAGCTGTGAGAGTCAGCGGAGGCAGAGTCACACTCACAACCATCATTGTACACAAAGCTCAAAGTCAATGCTGAGAAGAAAAAGCGAGTTGCACGACGAATGATGCAGAAGGCCCCATCTGAATCAAGTTTAAAAGCAGAACCACAGGGGCTGGAGAGATGACTCAGCAGTTAAGAGCACTGGCTGCTCTTGCAGAGGACCGGGGTTCGATTCCCAGCACCCACATGGTGGCTAACAACTGTCTGTAACTCCAGTTCTGGGGGATCCATGGCCCTTTTCTGGCCTCCACAGGCATTGTGCACATGGTACACTTACATGCGTGCAAGCAAAACACTCTTACGTATAAAACAAAAAATAAAAAAAAGCAGAACCATGCTTTGTAGCCTACCATGCCCACTCATGAGGTGTCTGAAGAGTGAGAGACATACAGGGGATGGACGCAGGCTGAATTCAAGATGGGGGCACCTCTGGGACCAGATGTGGGAGAACGGTTGGCAAAGAAGACTTGAGACTTCACTAGTATCTGTAACATTTAATTTAATTTTCTAAAATCTGAAGTAAATGAGAAAATGGAAAGATCTGATCAAAGTGAATCATGAGGGTGGCTGGAAAGATGGCTCAGTCAGTGCGCCTGGTGAACAAGCATGAGGACCTGAGTTCTGATCCCCCAGCACCCATGTGAAAAGCCAGGCATGGCACTAGACACCTGGCTCAGCAATTAGGAGCTCTGGCTGCTCTTGCAGAGGACCCAGTTTTGGTTCCCAACACCCATATGGTGGCTAACAATTGTCTATAACTCCAGTTCTGGGGGTCCAATGTCCACTTCTGGTCTCCATAGGCATTGCAGGTACATGGCACACTTATACACATGCAGAGAAGATACACATATAAAATAAATATTTACAAAACCATTTTAAAAAACCCAGGCATGGGCTGGAGAGATGGCTCAGCAGTTAAGAGCAATGACTGCTCTTGGAGAGGACCTGGGCCAGATTCCCAGCACCCACATGGTGGCTAAGGACTGTCCTTAGCTAACACCCTCTTCTGACCTCCAAGGGCATTGCACAACATGGTGCACTCATGTACATGCAGGCAGTATACTTGTACACATAAAATATAAATAATAAATATTTAAAAGAAAAAAGCCAGGCGTGGTGGTGTGTGACTGTAATCCCAACTCTGGGGAGATGGAGACAGTGGATCCCTGGCGCTTACTGGCCAGGCATTCTAGTCAAATGGTCAGCTCCAGGTTCAGTGAGAGATTCTGTTTCAAAAACATAAGGTAAAGCTGGGCATGGTGGTGCACACCTTTAGCCCCAGGACTTGGGAGACACAGGCAGATGGATCTCTGTGAGTTCAAAGCCAGACTGGTCTACATAGCAAGTTCCAGGCCAAACAGGGCTATGTAGTGAGACCCTGTCTCAAGAACCCACCCATCTCCACCAAAAAAAGTGGAGAGTGATTGAGGAAGACATCCAACTTTGACCCTTGGCCTCCACATACACATGCACACATGAACACACACACACACACACCACACACATGATTGATGGGTTCCCAAATGTTCATTATATTAATTTCTAGTTTTGAGTGTAGACTTAAAACAATTTTCAATAAAAACCCATTTAAGGAAAAAAGAATTTAGCCTCTCAGGTGCCCCAGAGCAAGGGAGGGCTACGTTCCTCAAGCCCTACCTTATCTTCAGGCTGAGATCACAGGCAAGGAGGGGACAAACTCTGGGAGGTGGAAGGGGTTCTGTGAAGAGCGGAGACCCACACTTTGGGCTTTGTGCTGGCAGCTTCCCGTGTTCACTTTCTTTGTCCTCAGGAAGGGACCCTCGATTTATTAGCAAAGTTTGTCTAGTGCACTGCCCAGGCCCCTTTGCAGTGGTCACGTGTCTAATGCTGGTCAGTGGGGTGAGTGGGCATGTTGTGGGCAATGCCCAGGAAGGGTCCACACTACTTCCCTCCCCTCTGCCTTCCCACTGTTGGGGTTGTAGGTTGGTTGGTGGGAGTTCTGGCCGATTCTTGCGACAGAGGAATCTTGAGAAAGGCTACTGCCATACTAACCCAGGACAATGTGAGGGGGAGAAAATCTTTTGCACCTTGTTTCGGCCACTAACATTTCAGATGCACCAAGACTAATGATGCTGGGCCTTCAGCCACAGGTCAGCAGAGTGGTGGTGGTAGAGACTAGGGTTCCCCCCTCTTTGCTGCTCACTAGGAAGCCTGTGGAGCTGAGCTGCCACCTCACTGATGATGGGCAAAGGATGCTCAACTGACTCAGAG